GGAAGAAACCGAACCTCTTGGTAATAACGGTGAAGGAGAGTCATCCCCGTCTGAGCCTAAATGGCTGCAACAAGATGAACCTATAGCTTTGTGGGTGAAGGTAATGACTCTTACCTCCCTCTAGAACGATTCGGAATCTTATTCAATTAGACAATGTTCATATGTTTTTTGTGTGTGTGTCTTTGTGTTATAGTGGAGAGGGAAATGGCAGGCTGGAATCAGATGCGAGAGGGCAGATTGGCCATTAACGACTTTGAGAGGGAAACCGACACATGATAGAAAAAAGTATTTTGTGATTTTTTTCCCGCATACAAAGAACTATTCGTGGGCGGATATGCAGCTTGTTCGATCTATCCATGAGTTACCGGAGCCTATTGCATATAAGTCACACAAAGTGGGACTTAAAATGGTTAAAGATTTGACAGCTGCTCGACGCCACATAATGCGGAAGCTTACAGTTGGGATGCTCAATATAGTTGATCAATTCCACTCAGAGGTATAAGCTGGAACTAAGTGCTGGATATCGAAAGCATCGGATTGCATTTTGATTGCAAGTCTTTTGATGTTGCAGGTTGTAGTTGAAGCAGCTAAGGATATAATTATCTGGAAAGAATTTGCAATGGAGGCTTCTAGAAGCATAAGTTATCATGATCTTGGAAGAATGCTTGTGAAGCTTCATAGTGTAAGCTCTCTTTGTTCTTAAGTTTAGAGTGTCTTTTCTTTGTTCGGGTTCTCCTGTAATCATGTCTTGGCTTTTTGGGCTTTGTGTAATGTTGTTCAGATGATTTTGCAACGATACATGGATCCAATCTGGCTCGAAAATTCGTTTCCTTCATGGGTACAAAAATGTAATGATGCAGTGAATGCCGAGAGTATCGAATTGCTGAAAGAGGTAAGGGTTTCCACCAGAGGCTGATAGTATCATTGACATGTTTGTGTCAGACGTTTTTTCTTATCGAAGTCCACTTTTATCTGTTTTGTTTAGGAATTTGACAATTCTATCCAATGGAACGAAGTCAAATCAGTTTCTGATTCTCAGATGCAATTAATGGTGTTGTCAGAATGGAAAACGTGGAAGCATGACGTTACAAAATGGTTCTCGATATCTCGCCGTACTGTCGCAGAAATAGCACAGCAGGAAAGTAAAAGCATCTTTCACTCAGATGTCCAGGCGAGCCGTAAAAGACAGAAACTTGAGATTCGACGTGCAGAGACAACAAATGCATCACAGGTGGAATCTGATTTTTCTCCCCAAGGACTGACTGCAATTGACTCGGAATTTTTTCGTTCTCGAGACAACACAACTACTCCTGAGGTGATGAAAAGTGAAAATGCGATAATGAGTACACCAGAGAATGGTTTGGATCTATGGGATGGAATTGTTGTTGAAGCAGGAGGTTCTCAGCTCATGAAAACAAAAGACGCTAATGACTTATCTAACCTTCAAGTCCATAACATAAACGAATCAGTTGTGAAGAAACCATATGGTTCGGGAAATAAAAGTCAGCAATGCATAGCTTTCATTGAATCGAAAGGACGGCAATGTGTGAGGTGGGCGAATGAAGGTGATGTTTATTGTTGTGTGCATTTAGCTTCTCGTTTCACCACCAAATCTATAAAAAACGAGGGATCGCCTGCTGCTGAAACACCAATGTGCGGAGGTGTTACTGTTCTTGGTACCAAATGCAAACACCGATCTCTACCTGGATTGTTGTTCTGCAAGAAACACCGTCCTCAATCAGGGATGGAGAAACCGTTTAATTCTTCATCTCATCAGGCGAAAAGAAAGGTAGCAGAAATTATGCCAACCTTAGAAACAGCTCAATATCAAGATTTAGTGGCTTTTGGAGAAACAGAGGGTCCATCTTTCGAGAGAAGTGGGCCCAATGGAACCACGAGCTTCACCGAGATGCTTGAGCATTGTAGCAAAGATGATAACTTGTGTGTAGGTTCTTGTTCAGAAAACAGCTATGTTCCTTGCCATGAATTCTCGACAAAGCACTCGTTATACTGTGAACAACACCTTCCTAACTGGCTCAAGCGTGCGAGGAATGGAAAGAGTCGGATAATATCCAAAGAAGTTTTTGTCGATCTTCTAAGGAGTTGTTCATCACGTGAGGAAAAACTGCCTCTACATCAAGCCTGTGATGTTTTCTACAAGCTCTTTAAAAGTGTCTTATCTTTAAGAAACTCGGTCCCAATGGAAGTACAGCTTCAGTGGGCGATATCAGAAGCTTCAAGAGACGCTGACGTGGGAGTTGGGGATTTCTTGCTGAAGCTAGTATCCCGTGAAAGGGAGAGATTATCTAGGATATGGGGTTTCAGTGCCAGTACTGATGAAGACGATGCATCACTATCAGAATCTCCTAATCGATTGCTTGCCATCACCAATACCTGTGATGATGATGATAAAGAAACCAGAGAAGAAGATAAATGGTCGTTTGGTGGATTTGCTTGTGCTATTTGTTTAGATTCTTTTGTGAACAGAAACCTTTTGGAAACTCATGTGGAGGAGAGACATCACGTGCAATTTGCTGAAAAGTGCATGCTTCTTCAGTGTATTCCTTGTGGCAGCCATTTTGGAGATAAAGATCAGTTGCTGGTTCATGCTCAAGCTGTGCATCCTTCTGAGTGCAAAACAATAACTGTCGCTTCGGAGTGCAAATTGACTAATAATGAATCTTCTCAAAAACCTGAAGCAGGCGATTCAGAAATTGTTGTGAGCCAAAACAATGAGAGTACAAGCGGCGTACATAAATTTGTTTGCAAGTTCTGTGGGATGAAATTCAATTTATTACCAGACCTTGGCCGTCACCATCAGGCAGAACACATGGGGCCGAATCTAGTTGGCTCTCGTGGTCCGAAGAAAGGGTTAAGGTTTAATACCTACAGGATGAAGTCTGGTAGGCTTAGTCGTCCCAATAAATTCAAGAAAAGTCTTGGTGCAGTTTCATATAGGATTAGAAACCGGGCTGGTGTAAATATGAAGAGGAGGATGCAAGGTTCTAAACCACTTGGTGTGGAAGGAAAAACTGGATCATCGCCGCCTCTGAGTGATAGTAGAATCTTTGATAGATCAACAGATACTCATTGCTCTGTGGTTTCGGACATATTGTTCTCAAAGATTCAGAAAGTTAAACATCGCCCTAATAATCTCGATATCCTGTCTGCTGCTCGATCAGCTTGCTGTAGGCTGAGCCTTGAGAACTCGTTGGAGGCTAAATTCGAGAATTTGCCTGAGCGGATATATCTCAAGGCAGCAAAACTCTGTGGTGAGCATGGTGTACAAGTGCAATGGCATCGTGAAGGATACATATGCTCTAACGGATGTAAGCCTTTTAAAGACCCAAATCGTCTATGCCCCTTGATCCCGCGGCAAGAGAATGATCGATCTCAGATATCTATGGACACCAAAGAAGATTCTAATAACGGCTTGGAAGTAGACGAGTGTCATTGTATCATGGAGGCTCATCATTTCAGTAAGAGACCGTACGGAAAGACTGCGATTTTGTGCAATGACATTAGCTTTGGTAAGGAATCAGTTCCAATATGTTGTGTCGTGGATGATGATCATTTGAATTCCTCAGAGAGGCCTTGGGAAAGTTTTACTTACGTTACAAAATCATTACTTAATCCACCAATGGATCTTGGAAAGGAGGTATCTTACTTGTTCGAGCTTGTTGTATCCTTGAAACAGAATTGTGACTTCATGTTGTAACCTTGGTTTTTGTCCACTGTTTGTGATGCAGAACCTGCAACTCAGGTGTGGCTGTTGGGGTTCAGTGTGCTCGCCTCTAATTTGTGATCACGTATACCTTTTCGGTAACGATTTTGAGGAAGCTAGAGACATATATGGAAAATCCATGAGGTGTAGATTCCCATATGATGACAAAGAACGGATCATCTTGGAGGTAAATTTAGCTGCTTCTCTATTGAATTGAAGATTTTTGTAGTAATTTCAGTTCTTGTTACTACTTGACCACATATTCGCTGATTCTTTTTTCTTTTGGTGAAACTGTGATTGTTGGAAATGTTGCAGGAGGGTTATCCTGTTTATGAATGCAACGAGCTCTGCGGATGCTCTAGAACATGTCAGAATCGAGTTTTGCAGAATGGAATTCGCGTGAAACTGGAAGTTTTTAAAACAGAAAGCAAGGTGTGATCCTTTTTTAGCCATTGTCTTTTTCATCCATTTGTCTTGTTTCAATTCCAATATCCATGTCTGATCAAAAATCCACAGGGATGGGGATTACGAGCTTGTGAACATATACTACGTGGCACGTTTGTTTGTGAATATATTGGAGAGGTCCTGGATCAGCAAGAAGCAAACAAGAGGCGAAACCAGTACATAGCTTTTGTCCTTTTCGCTTAGAAAATTCGGTAGAGGTTGAACATAAGTTAACCCTCCTATTGATTTCACAGGTATGGAAAAGAAGGTTGCAGCTACATACATGACGTTGATGCAAACATCAATGACATTGGTAGGTTGATGGAAGGAGAGCCTGATTATGCTATTGATGCTACTACTCATGGCAATATCTCTCGGTTCATCAATCACAGGTGAGTTTTAAAAACGAATCTACCAAAACTTTTGCATCGTACTACTCATAGATAACTGATGCTTTCCATTTTTAAAATCTCAAGCTGCTCGGCGAATCTCGTTACCCACCAAGTTATTGTAGAAAGCATGGAGTCGCCGCTTGCTCATATCGGTCTATACGCCAGTATTGATGTAAGGCTCTTCTTCTCTCTTTCTTGAAAGAGGTTTCAAGCGTTGGGGACCAAATCGATCTTTTTTGTTGTTGTGTGCGTAAAACAGATAGCTGCGGGAGAGGAGATCACTCGAGACTATGGATGCAGACCAGTAACATCCGGACAAGAAAATGAGCATCCATGCCATTGTAAAGCTATAAATTGCAGAGGTCGTTTCTGTTAATTAGATTTTCGATTCTAGGTTACATTATTTGCAGATTTGTTTCAATAAGTTCCCTGAAAGCTTTTTACATTTTACCATTGAATCTTAGACAGCTTTAGACTACTTTAATTCTGCAAGTTTTTTTTTATTTCAGTATTCATAATCCTTCAAATCTTGATTTCTCCTTTCTGAATTGTGAAGAACCAAAATGGAAGTCCATAGCCAAAGATTACAGTTGCAGTAATCCCTGAAATCATTAAGAAACCTAATCAGAGTTTTGTAAGTTGAAACCTTTTTTTTTGAAGATATCAAATGTTTCTTCTTTTTCTTACCAAAGTCAATGTATTTCTTCTCTCTGGGTTTTGAAGAAGAAGAAGAAGCTCTGTGTTGCAGAAACATAGAAGTTATCACTAAACCACTTCCAATCTTCTCTCTAACCACTCTATGAGTGAGATCTAAAGACAAAACTCCGACTTTCTCTGTTATGACATCCTCTGCAACAACCTTAAGAAACAAGAACAGACCCAAGCTAAGAGCTGTTCCAATCATCTGTTTGATTCTTGTCGATTTAGATATTCTTTTGCAACTAATCAGATTAACAACAAAAGCGAGTGTGTACAGAGGAAACCAAAAGTACCAATCTGCAACAATGAAGAAACATAAATGGTGAATTTTTCACATAATGCGTAGAGAGAGAGAATAGAAGAAGGAAAAAAAAAGAGATGATTTTTTTGTGAATACCAGGATCATTAAGCTGGACAGATGCAGAATAAGCAAACAATAACGCCATTAAAAATGAGCAAACCCAAAAAAGATTTCTTGGTTTTTCCATTTGTTCTTTCAAATTTTGGAGATCAAAACAAGATCGCAGGGGATGATGATGATTGCGTTCGTCTCCTGCTCAACCGTTTTGAATAACCGACTCGATTCAAATCAAAAGCCGGTTCTCTTGTATTTTCCGGTTATCGTTAATAACAGTTCCAAAAGCCCAATTTATCTTTCCCCACACTTAAATTGTTGGTGGGCTTTTCAGCCATCACAAGGGTCCCAAAAGCCTTGTGATTCAATTAG